ATCACCCCCAGCAGCCTAGGAGGCTCCTTGCTGCGTTGCCGGGAAGGCTCTGCCAGGAAGAGCCACAAGCATCCCACATAAGGGTCGTCCTTGATGGACACCCACACTGCCTGCGCCTTGGGCCGGTCCCGCTGCAGGAAGTGCCCTGGGAGAGACCTCTCTAGGAGGGAGGCATCCTTCTAAGTTACTTCCATCTGCCAAGGGGCTTTCCCAAGACTCTTAGGTAGGGGCTCCTTTTCAAAATGCATGCCCTTTCCTCCTTCTCGTTTCTCCATAAAAATGCCCCTTTTGGACTCTGTTTCTCTCTCTTCCCGGTCTTGGGACTGAGGAAGGAAGCGCCAACCACCCTGACCGGACAGTGGTTGCTCCTTGACCCAGGAATGGGAAGGAGACAGGCTCCCAGGAGTTTACAAACCTTTCTGGAGAGACAGCTGCCGCCTCCATCAGGATGCTGACCCCCTTCTCCTGTTCTCCTCACCATAATTTCTGGAGAGGGTGACGCCTGGCCACGGAGACCTCACAGGGCATCAGGGTTACAGCACCAGCAGACTCTGGGGCACCGAGACGCCGACAAGTTTGGGAAACAATTTCATATTTGACATGAAGTGAACCACAGAAGTCACGATGGGTGGGAATAGTAGGACCTCACTGGGCTTCTTTGCACTTATTTTACAGCTTAGCGGGGCTTTTCTTTTGAGCTGAACACGAGAGAAGGCACAAACCCTTTCTGGTTCCTTCACGTCTGTAAAACGCTTACTGGGGCCACGGGCAGAGACCAAGGTGGACCCCTGGATGCTCGAGGACCTTTCAGATTCTGCTGGGAGAAAAGGCTGAGGGTCTGCTCTGGGTGACTTCAGCCTTCCAGAGACAAGAAAGGGCTCCCTGGGGGCCAGGTCCTCAGAGGAAGGCAGAGGAGGTGTGCAGAGAATAGTCCTGTGAGCTCCTAACCCAGGTTGGAGACATGCCCAGGGGCTTCCCAGCAGTGGGTGGAATGGGTGTAAAGAGAGATTCACCTAGAAAGGGAAACGCATAAGAAATAGGAGTCGGCCCGGCAGGTGTGGCTCAGTGCTTGAGCCTTGTCTTGTGCACCAGGAGGTCACTGGTTCAATTCCAGGTCAGGGCACAGGCCCGGGGTTGAGGGCTCCATCCCCAGCAGGGGGCGTGCAGGAGGCAGCCGATCAATGACTCTCATCATTGATGTTTCTCTCCCTCTCCCTCTCCTGTCCTCTCTCTCAAAAAAAATCAATAAAAACATATTAAAAAAAAACAAAAAACAGAGGAGTGAAATGTGGGGGACAGAAGGAAGAATGGTTTAATCAAGGCATCTGAAGTGGCCTGACCCCCAAGTCAGAGCGATTTAAAATCGTCGTGGAGACGACAAATGGAAGACGAGAGCCTTCTCCTGGCGGATGGCACTTCTTGGCCACTCAGATGCTGCGCACACAGCCCTGTGTGAGCCCCCGGGCAGCTCGAGATATAAATAAAATGACGAATGTCGTGAAGCCCTCCCTTTGCCAGCCCCCTCCGCTGGGCTGCCGACCCGGAGGAGGAAACTGGGGAGTATGGAGGCTACAAGAAACCTCAAGAGGTACCGATGTCACCCAATCGCTGTCATTTATTTAATGGAACAGTCATTATTTTCTTTCTTCAGCACATGCATCTGATAATGAGGGAGGCAAAGAGACAAACAACTGTCGATGGGCCACCAGAAACACACCAACAGCCACTAGCTTTTCTCATTTTATTGATGTTCTTCTGTATTTACGATGAGTCAAGTCTGGGTTGAGGTGCTGTTTTTTTTTAAATAACTTCTGATTAAACGGAGAACAGAGATGAAACTGTCGTCAAACATAGAAATAGGAATTGAATCGCTTCTTTTTAGCTGGATCTTTAACACCGACTTGACCGTATGGACACTGCAGAAGTAGAAGGAACAGGTGCTTAATGAATTGCTCGGCACCCACCTTGACAATGTACCGCGCTTCTCATGGTGGAAAACGGGGACCGCCCACCACGTTACAGAGATCCTCTGACCTACCGGGTCCTGCAGACCAAGGGGAACGTAGTGGCAACTCTGACCAATAATCGTAATCAGGGCCCAAGAACCACGTCCTGAAAGCTTCCTTCGGGTTTTAAGGTTTTAGTGTCAAAAACTCACCCTTAGAAAATCCTCGGGCTTCAATTTATGCAGAGCCCCGATGCACCTCATTAGAAACCGATATAAACACACACCAAAGTGAAGGCTTAATTTCCCAGTGTTGGCCGCAGTCAAAACATGGGCTTGGTGTCTACTCCTTAGTTACAAAGCGGGCCAGTTAAAGGAAATAATACCTTCTTGCTCTAAAACACAGAGTGGTCTGTGGACAGAGGTTCATAGTCCTATCCCTGCAATAATTTACCCGACTAGCATGCTTTTGAAAGGCTATGGTGGAGAGCCCACCCCCACTTATTTTTTGCTCAAAATAGGGATGGAGTCGTCAGTTCATCTGAATCCGGGCACATAAAGAGAGAGAGATTCACTGAAATAGACGTTTTAGGAAATGTGCGGTTTTGGGGCAGCTAGTTTCATGGTTAAAGACAGTAGAAAACTGCCACAGAAAGAGAGAGAGAGAGGAGGGGGTAGGGAGGGAGAAAAAGGAACATACAGAAAATCATCATTTAAAGAAAACCCACCTCTCAGTGCTGGCAAGTTTCTATTTATTCAGCTAATAATGGGGGGAAAAAAAAGCTTTCTGGGGCCTAGTCTGCAATATTCTAGCTCCCCTTTCCTGCCCCCTTTGTACTTACCTAGTGAACATGGCTTGTTTAAAACCTCGTGAAAAGTTTCCTGGTAATAAAGAGCTCCCACGGATTTCCAATCGCGGCCTTTCAAGGGCCCGATGGCCACGGTGACATGTTACCAAATTCCATTAAGTTTAAAGGCCCTCCGTTGGTCCTCAGGACGTCACTGTCCTTGGCTGAAGGAGCTTGTGAAAAGCGCGCTCCAGGTCTAGTGAGCGTTTTTATTTGACTTGTTTAAATAATAGGTATTTATGAACTTACAGGGGCCCCGCGAGCGGCTGCTGTAAGGCGAGAATTTGCTACTCACGTGCCTGCAGGCCGAGCCGCAGCACTGGCCCCTCTGCCAGTGGGCGAGCTGGGTGAGCACCACGTAGCCCGTGGCCGGGTCCGAGTAGCTCAGCTGGCCGGCCTGCAGAGCCCGGGAGCAGAGCCACCCGTTAGCCTCAGTACCCGTCCTGTCTCCTCGCCCCAAGCTCTATGCACAGGATACTGCCCAATGTCCTTGAAAACAGCATGAACCGTCTCCTGGAAATTTCGGCCGCCCCTTGCCATCAAAGAGCGAACGCATTCCAGCAGGACACGCAGCCCCACTTCACGGGGCAGGAGGGGGAAATGTACAGCTTGAGAGAACCGGGGAGCCGATGGGAAAACAAGAAGCCCTCTATGCCCCCTAACGAAGCAGCCACCGGCAGGTATTTTTCATCCAGTTCCTAGGTAACGAGTTTAATAGCAGGTGCTCTCGACGACTTGAAGGGCTTAAGAGGCTGAGAACGAACTTTCACTCAGAAGTCGCGCTTGTGAGTTCAGTGCTTAAAATATGTGGACGGTGATTTAAACTTACGGGAAAGGCGCTAATGGAAACCAACAGTCCACAGAAAAGGGCCGCCTTCGCCGTGATTGAACACGGCTGTACCCCCGCGACGTGGGGCCGAGTTGAATATTTTACACTGTTTTCTTTTCTTTCTAAAGAGTGTTGTTAGTTCTGTTTTTACGCACAAAAAATCAAGTATTGTTTTACCATATTAACACTCACTGCTTTCATGAGTTTTGACCAAAAGCAACTTTTACAGCGGCCCTTCGGAAGTTGAATGCACTCTACCTACATTCGAACAGGGTTTTCAAAACCGTCCCCTGCACTGGGGCAAAGGCGATGTAGACACTTCGACCCCCTCCTTGGGCCTTGACCATGTGGCTGATGTCCTTTAGCCTGAGGTCTTGCAGAGGAACTTGCTCCTGTTCTCAGAGAGAGTGGGAGGAAGAGAGGCTCTGAGAGAGACACATCGATCGGTTGCCTCCCGCACGTGCCCCAGTCGGGGTCAGGGATTGAGCCTGCAACCGAGGTGTGTGCCCTTGGCTGGAATCGAACCCAGAACCCTCCAGCCTGCAGGGCCATGCTCTAACCACTGAGCCACACCAGCCAGGGCCCTGCTGAGACTGTATGTAGAAGTTTCAACATTTGCATGAGTCAGGCAGGATTCTCAGGGCCTCCTAACCAGCAGTTAGGGGATGAAAGTCAACGTTAGGCAACTACCCAGGTTTCCGTCCACTCCTGTGGCTCAGGCCACACCAGACATCAGCCCTGTCAAGCACGGGCCACACACACACACACACGGGGTATTAAAAAGGCTGTGTCTCTATCGTAGACTCGCTCTCTCATGATGAAAAGCATGTATATAAACACGCTACCTTTAGACTCATGTAGCCTGAGGAGTCAGGAAGCCGAGGGAGATGCTAAGTTTAGGTGTCAGCACCCACAGGCGACTGTCCGGTCCCCCAACAGAAGAAAACAGAAGAAAACAGCTCAAGGTGGTCCAGTAGGAACCGACGGGCCCAGTGAGTTCCCTTGAAACTGTGTCCCGCGGGGGTGGAGGGAGGGACGGAAGGACGCCAGCAAAGCTTAGGATAGATCAAAAATAAGCTCAGGTTTTATTTTTCATTATCAAAATCACGGGATGGCAGGGTGTTCAGCTGACCGTGCGGATGAAACGCACGGCTTTTCCCTGGGACTTCTCAGCTCCTCTGCCCCATCCATCAGTGCCTTCACCCGTGTCCCCAACACACGCAGAAACACAGACACGGAAACACAGACAGACACGGAAACACAGACACGGAAACACACAGACAGACACGGAAACACAGACATGGAAACACAGACACAGAAACACAGGCAGACACGGAAACACAGACACAGAAACACAGACACAGAAACACAGACAGACACGGAAACACAGACAGACACGGAAACACAGAAACACAAAAGCACACACACAGACAGACACACACAGACACACACACACACACAGACACACAGACACACACAGACACACAGACACACACACGCAGGAGCGACGGCCCCGCCCCGCCCGCGGTCAGCTGTCAGTGGTCAGACGCGGGTCGCGCTCGTGCTCAGGGCAGACACGCGTGGGCGCCCCACCGGGAGCGGCGTGGGCAGCGCGAGCGGTCAGCGGCCG